TTGTAGCATATTCCCTGCTTTGACGATGAGATGAAAATATGCACTATTTAAAGAACCAACTTTTGAGACTTAGTCAATTGGTGTAACATGCGCTGATTTCTTTTGATACATTTATGTTATCAATTTTGCTGCTTGATTTTGGAGTACTTGTGACTTTGATAGTTTTTCGGCTGTCAAACCGGACAAAATAGCATTACAGTTATCTAACTTTGATAAAATCAGTGTTGTTACAAGTACAAGTGCCTTGGCTTCGGCTTAGTTAAATAATTTCTTACACTGCCAATTTTCTTAGGCTGAAAGTAAATACTTTTGCTGAGCTGGGTAATTTGGGAGGACATACACTATCATAGACATATCATTTCCAACTGAACCCCTAGATTTTTTAGACTTCTTTTTGAACAAATAGTATTTTTATTTTTATATCAATTTGTAGTTCTGGGAGATTTCTAATTGCTTTTGTATTTCCACTCAACATTATTTCCGTCTTGTCATCGTTTAGTTTCAATTTATTGCTTGTCATCCATATTTAAAATCTGTAGTACATTGTTCAGTTAAGTCGACTAAAAGTGGTATTTGATCGAAATCAATAGACTTATAAATTTGAATGTCATCAGCATAAAGATGGTAATTCATGCAATATTAAAATATCAGCAATAAGTTGTGTATACATGGTAAACAAGACAGGCCCAAGAACAGACCCCTTAGGAACACCACATCTAAGCAAAAATTATCAGAACACATGCTTCCAACCACAACTGCTTGTGTTCGATCTTTAAAATATGACTCAAACCATCGTAGGACAGTACCCTTTATGCCAAAAGTAGTATTTAACCTCTCGAGTAAAATGTCATATATTGTATCGAATGCAGCCGAGAGGTCCAAAAGAGTAAGAAGACACCCCTTTTTTTCATCAATATATTTTAAAAGATCAGTACAGACCTTAAATAACACTGTTTCGGTACTATGGTGTGCCTTATATGCTGACTGATAGACTTCGCTAAGATAATTTGCTTTCATATGATGTAACAATCTATTAGACTAAACTTTTTCCAAAATTTTGGATAGGAAAGAAAGGTTTGAAAATAGTCTACAATTTTTTAAGTCCTTTTCATCAAGTCCAGCTTTTTCTAAAGGGGTCTAACATATGTGCTGTCTTAAAGCAATTTGGCACTGTGCCTGTGAGGAGAGAATCATTTACTATTTGGGTGATATGTGGAAGAAGTTCATCCAAACATTTTTTTTAAAGGCTGGTGGGCATGGGGTCTAAGGCTTAACTTTTTGACGGACTATCTAATATGATCTTTTTTATTTCTTCTTCCGTTGCTGGTGTAAAATAATCGATGACTAGTACCCCTTAAACTGATGGTAATTTGGGGCAATTGTGCACATTTTATCGAGCTCTTGCCTGATGGTGATTTTTTTAGGAAAAAAGTCTGAAAAGATACTACAAAGATCTCTATCGGTGCCAGGGGGGTAATACTGTTCTGTTTTGGTTGCTAAGCAGTTCACGAGATACATCAAAAAGTTCCTTACAAGTTTTAACATTTTCAAATTTTGACCAGAAGAAAGTACGCTTGGCCTTGGTAATCATTTTACGAACAGACTTCTTCATAGACTTAATAAATATTCCCTTATAATGCACTTCAAGTCGTGTGTTTCTCCATTTTCTTTCCGCTTGTCTCTTTCCCTTTTTTGCGGCCTTTATTTCTAAATTAAACCACTTACCAACAGGTCGATGAGATAATTTTTGTTTTTTAACTGGAGCATGATCATCTAAAATATTCCTCATGATGGTATTGAGGGTTTCTACGTTAAAAGGGGAACTAATAGCAAGAGCACAGGGTTGGTGATTTTTTATATTTTTAAAATAAAAATAAAAACAATCGATTTTTAAAATTTAAATCAGATTTTTAAAATTTAAATCGGATTTTTTAAATTTTTTAAAAAATGTCGACACAGTTTGGGATTTTTGGTGGCTAAAAGTATGTTCTTTTAGTGTAGAATGCATTGTCTTTATTTTAACTAATGATTAATTTAAGCAACTGCAAAAGAAAGCCTTAATCTGCTATTATCAGTGAATTATGGCTACAGACAAAAAATGAAGAAAATGTCAGTCTAAAACTAAAAGGAAAGGGGGGGAGGGGGTAATTATGCATAGATAAACTTGTATTTTATTACAGTGTGCGTGTGTGTGTGTGCGCGCTTGTGTTTGTCTAAAAAGAAAAAGAAAATGCTAATTTCAATTATGAAAAAAAAGTAAATTGAATACTGTATTAATTTACTACTTACAGTGACAGGGGGGAAAGCAGACTTTTAAGCATGATTATATTAGTCTACTAAACCTTATATCTGTTTTATAAAACCAAGGAAAGGAATTCTGAATGTTTAAAGACGTGAAAACAATACATTTTTAAAAAGTGATTTAAATCACTGAGGTTTATTTTTTAAAATCAAGTTGATTTAAATTTTTTTAAATCAACTGATTTAAATCAACCCAAACCTGGTTTTCAATTATGAAAAGAAAGAAAATTGAATACTGTATTATTTTACAGTGACAGGGGGGAAAGCAGACTTTTAAGCATGACTATATTAGTCTACTATACCTTATATCTGTTAAATAAAACCAAGGAAAGGAATTCTGAATGTTTAAATATGTAAAAACAGAATACATTTTTAAAAAAGTGATTTAAATCACAAAATCAAGTTGATTAAAATAAAAAAAATCAACTGATTTAAATCAACCCAGCTCTGATTTCAATTATGGGGAAAAAAGTAAATTGAATACTGTATTATTTTACAGTGAAAGGGGGGAAAGCAGACTTTTAAGCATGATTATATTAGTGTACTAAACCTTATATCTGTTTTATGAAACCTAGGAAAGGAATTCTGAATGTTGAAATATGTAAAAACTGAATAAAAATAGATTTTTAAAAAAGCGATTTAAATCACTGATTTTTATTTTAAAAATCAAGTTGATTTAAATTTAAAAAATCAACTGATTTAAATCAACCCAACCCTGCAAGAGTATCACGAATGTCACATTGAAACTGGTGTAAATTTATATCGTTCAGATTCCGGGAATGAACTGTTTTCATTTCTTTCCTTGGTCTTTTAATGTTCAAGTCAACAATAGAAAATGATCCGAAATGTCTTTGTCCAGAACGTTTAATGTTTTTCACACAGTTCTCAGAAAATTCAATAGGGAAGATTTAAACCCAGTCTAGGATGTGCTGACTTTTATGTGTTGGTACTTGGACGAGTTGTTTTAAATCATTTTCTGTCAGCAGGTTGCCGGTTGCATATATTTTTAGTGGCAGGGTTTTCAGAGCCAAAGTGAAAATTAAAATCGCCAATTATAATGAATGGTGTACTTTTCGTCTGCAGAGTTGAAATTAAATTCCTCCATAAAAACGGATTGTTTGATATAATTTGCTTTACTCGGTGGTGGCCTGTATATGCTGCAGATGGTAATGCTTTGGGACTGCAGCTGGAATGACAATAAAGCAGCCTCACTAGAGTGACAGGGAATCTTTTTCACTGTAACTTGTGCTAAATTAGTTCTATAAATAAATGCCACTCCTCCTCTTCTACGCCCGACATGAGGGAAAGACTTAATTAAATAACCAACTGGACATATTGCTGATAAAATAGCATCGTCACCGTACTCCTGCAACCATGATTCTGTCATACAAAAAATATCAAGGTTCATTTCAATAATTAAATCATTTAACTCGTCCGCTTTATTACGGCATGACCTGGTGTAAAGGCAAGCTACTCGGACATTTTGTATTACTTCTTGCAAAAAGTTTCGACAGTCGATTTTGACCAAATTATTAATGTTAATTCTGTTTTTCGGTCTGCTGCTGATGCACACATTTTCTAAATCATAAACACGAAACACCACAGTGGTTGTCCTTTGTTTTCGTCGTCCACCTCTTTTCTTTCTTCTCGTTTTTTTTCCCACTTTACTGGTATAACACACGAACAAGAGCTGGGAAAAACACATGTATTCACACACTTGTACCCAAGCACAGAGTTAGAAACGACTCAGAGAACAGTTTTCACGAGACACTCAGGAGAAAAAAATTCTTTGTTGTAGATGTTCGAGGGTTGACGGAGGGTAGACCCCAGAAGAAGAAAAAATGTCCTATAGAAAAATACCAAGTCAATCATGGCGAATTGAAAACTGATAATTTCTTTGAAAATACTGACTGTTTTTGTACAAATCCTACATCACCACATACACTGTCAAATGACGAATACACTGATATCAATATAAAAATCCACTATATGAATAACTTTAAAATGCACTAGATACTGTTATAATCGAGAGAGATTATGGAGCAGCCTGTCAGGCGCTCAACACAACTCAGACAGGTATACAGGTGATGGAACTTATATGACCATATTGGTTTTTTTATCTGTTATCATTGTTTTCATTACGCTTTTGCGTGCTGATAGTGTAATATAGTAATGTGTGTAGTGTGTAGCCGTCCAGTCTGTCTAATCTCGTAGCCTCTTCATTGTTTCATTCAGTGCTCTTGGATGTACACGTTTTTTTCGTTTGGATATAAATACCTCTATTCTAAGGATTAAATTTGTGCTTGTTATATGTTTTAGTGTTCAGCCCAGAGTCTATTTTTCTTTTATCTTAAATGTTATTTTGTTACTGTGAAAAAGTTTTCAGCTCACGTCTCAGTTTCAGCGCAATGAACCGTGTGAGCAACGTTTGATTACTGTCAGGCTAGGGATGATTCTATGCTTTATGAAGATTTAATGGCTGTGCGCGATGATCAATCTGAATTGCTCTGTGAGATGAAGATCTTGCTGTTAGCTATTCCCCAAGTTGTAGTAGGGTTACAAAAAGAAGAAGAAAGCCTGTCCTGTTATCAGATCATTTTTTTTCCATTAAATTACTTTGTTTGAGAGTTTATATTTTTGAAAAAATGGACTCGTGTTGTAATTTGTAATTTACATGTCATATTTTTTTGGTTTCACAGATGAGAAAAATGCTTCTCCAGTTCCTGTGCTGGAAGTTAAACAGATAGAACCAAAGTTTAATGTTCTGGAACCTCCAGATGCCCAGACCCAGGAAGCTGTCCTAAAAGCAACCCGCCCTCATATCGCTCCCCCTCCTGATGTGAAGGAAGAGCCAACAAAGCCAGAGTTGAAAATAACAGAGAGTGTTGTGGCCAACGTCACAAAACATGTTCAGAACAAAACTGAAGACTTGGAAGTAGCCAAGAATAAAACCATGCAACAGCTTGGAGTCCTAGGGGTGGAGGCTAATGATAAGCTTCTGCCCAAGGTCATCTTTGAAAAGTTCAAGTGGAACCTTACCGTATCATTTGAGGACATTGGAAATATAATGAAGGACACATTGTTCTTGAACAAATTGAAACCTCTCAATCTCAGTGGACCAATGCTGACCAGCACAAGGAATCGCACAGCAAACTTTTCTCTTTCCATGCCCATTAAAATGGGCTATTGTGATTGCTGGGAACATTACTGCTTCTGCTGTGTGCAGCTGGTTAACTCACAGCTTCACCTAAATGTCAAGACATGTGCAAACTTCACTTTCATCTCGAAATCCCATGTAAGTGCATTTTTAAAACTCAGTTTGCTGTAGTAGTGTTTTTAAGTTTATGATGATATTTTAAAACTTGTTTCGAAAAGTACTTTTTTCAGTACACCTAAGTTAAGAAACTTGCCCTCCAATATCAGAGCAGATAACATTTTTTTCCACCCTAACATTTCAAATTCCGTAATGTTAGATGGTTCCAAACTTTCATCCCTTGTACATTAAAGTCAAGTTTGGTTTATTATTAATCTGTTTGATACTTGTAGAGTTTCCAAACACAAAAGCAGAGGTACCAAGATAATATAATAATATGAAAAGTTAAACATCTTAAGGACGCTCCCCCATTTTATATGATGCTTTCATGAACTCATTCAGTATGTGAGTAATAAAAAATTCTAGATACATATATGTATAAGTTAATTTTTGAAGTAGTATTTTTTTTATTTATTTATTTTTAAAAAAATGAGATTACCTTTAAAAAAAGCTTTTTCAGTGCAAATGACTAGTCGAACATTCTACCTTTGTGTAAGAGTGAAATGACTTTGTTTTATTAATTTTATAAAAGAGTTTTAACTTTTACAGCACCTGCAACACAATAAGGTCTTATCAGTGCTGAAGAATAGAGGTGTTACAAGAGAGTAACATATACACAAAAAAGGAGGAGGAGAGATAAGGACGATAGATGTTTGATAAGAGAAAGAAGCGAACCACATTGAGCACCCGCCAACCAACCACTGACTTTGTTTAAATATAGTCCTTGTTGCTTTTAGACTTTTTTTTTCTGTCTTTATTCTAAAGAAATCATGTCAGTATTCAAGGTCTAGGTAGGTTATCTTCTTTGGTTAGTATTAAATACTGATTTATTCTTAGATTCTATATTCTATGTATATATATATATATATATATATACATATATACATATATATATATATGTATATATATATATATATATATATATATACATATATACATATATATATATATATGTGTATATATATATATATATTATATATATATCGGCTCTCGCAACTGCATAATGTCATATGAGCACATGGGACACATCAAACTTTTTCAGTTTGTAGGGAATTTTGAATTTTGCCCGGGTGGTGGCCGAAGCCTACTCTTATCGATTTTAGACCACCAAAGGATCTTTAACGTGCTCTACTTGCACACGGGCCCTCCAAGATTTTTCGCCTGGCCCTTGTCCGAGATTGCTAGGTGTCGATCTTTCCGACCAAAAGATCAGGGGTGTGGCTGAAAGACAGCTGTAAGAAGGAGCCAAGGAGTAGCAGTAGAAAGGCTGCAGGAGGTCAGAAGAGTGGGCAAAGGAGATGAGGGGGTGGAGGCAGAAAAAGTAGACTAAAGCAGACGACAGAATATTGCTAGAGAGCAGGAAAGGAGGTGAAAGAAGACAATTTTAGAGAAGAAAATTTTTCGGCCGCTACCCGGATTCGAACCCAGGACCTTTGAATGAGAGGCAAACAACTTGACCTCTAGGCCACGAGTGTCCCCAAAGATATTCTGATTGTATGCACCAAATACACTCTTGGTGAAGTTGTAGTCTGGAAGGGGTATTTTCTAATTGTTTTTGCCTCAGAATTTGGTTTCATTTGGAGATTTCATGACCAATTGACTCAAAGCAGTCAAGGTGGAGAGGTCGTTTATTTTAATTGTCTTTGATGTTCAGTAAAAATAGTTGTTCATTTACATCATGAATGACTGTTGTCTCTCTGTCTATTTTTCAAACTGTAAATTTTGTCTGGTGATTATTTCATAGATTTCTTTTGTTTCAGAACTTGGACCTTACTTTCAAAATGGACAACAAAACAGTTTACAGGGGGACATTGTCAGGTAACTATTATTACAGAATAAAGCAGTTACACCTTTGTAGATATACAGTGAAATGTAATTATGTGTAGCATCATGGTGAAATCATCCTTTTGTCAAAGAAATGAAATCATTTTTCTGCTTGTTGGACAATTTTTATCTTTTTTTGTGGGGGGGGGGGGGGGGGGATCTACACTTTTTATATCCTTTTAAAAACTCATTCCTGTTTGAATTTTACTTTAAAAATGTTGATCAGAGGCCCCCAAAATGTAAATATGTGAAGTTTCCTCCTTCAATCGCAAATATCTTGGACTTTTATTGAAGGTAGATGGGTATTTTTTTCATCAAAAGCAGGATGAAGCTTTAAGATGATACCTATAACTTCTAATGCCCAAACGTTGATGAGTGCCTGATTCCACGGGGTTGTGACACATGTATATTAAACAGTGACCCCCACTTACAATAGTCTCAGTACAGTCGAACCTGTGTAAGACAGAATCGCAAGGGAGCCAGAAAAAAAATTTCATCTTACACATTTTCCATCTTAGATAGGGGAATTTAGGGGGAAGATGGAGTGGGGTTTCAGAGGCCCAGCCAGTGGGATCAAGGGTCGCCTGAGCGGTCGGCAAGCAGTGGTCAAAACTTCACACCTTTCAAGTGCTATCCTCTCTGATAATGACATGTGTCAGTCCTACTTGTCTGTTGCCAGCAGTGCTTGTATTTCATTGGACCACTGTTTGACCTATTAAAAGCAGAAACGTTTGAACATCTCCTTTGCTTCCTGCCTTAGCCGCACCCATTGGTGTAATAAGCACAGTCAGCCAATGCCACCCCTCAATGTCATGTAACAATGATTCGAAGAACTCTCTTCTCGGCTGGCTGTATGATCAGGCTGGCAGGCATTCGTCAAACTAATTTCACACCTCTAGCCACTGAGGATCAGATGGACAGACAGGGTCACCAATGTGGAAGTGTTAAGGAAAACAAGACAGATCCCAGTCAGAGATGAGGTAGGAAGAAGGCGGTGGCGATGGGTTGGACATACTCTCAGGAAGTCAGGCAGCTGCATAACAAAGAAAGTTTTGGATTGGAACCCACAGGGTAAAAGATCAAGGGGAGGACCACGTGGAACCTGGAGAAGAATCACAGAAATCGATGTACAGAAAAGTGGGAAGACATGGAATAACATCAAGAGGCTAGCCCAGGATAGAGAAAGGTGGAAGGTGTTTGTCCGAGGCCTATACCCTGGTGCAGGGTGAGAAAGGCAATGATGATGATGATGTGTTAAAAAATTCTTTTATCATTGTAAGCAGGCCTTTCGGACAAACATGCTCAGCTATAACAGTGGTTCAACCATCAACAAAATTCTGAAACGAACAGACAAGAAAGCAGAAAAAAACCAATGAAGCAAAGCAATTTCCAATATGGCTTATTGCACCTACATAACCCACTATAGGCGTAAGTAGAATGTGTTCTCATTTTATGATATGTCATACCACTAGTACAGGGGAGGGAGAGGGAAAACTGAATGCACTTTGGTGTCGACACAGATTTTCCAATCTTGGACTTGGCATGACCTTGGTCTGGCACCTCATCATCATATGTTTCACGACACGATGGAATCAGGCGCTCGTCAATTTTTGGGCATTTAGAGTTATTGGTATCATCGTAGAGCTTGTTCATTTGTCTTGCTTTGGATGAAAGAAATATCCATTTATCTCGAATACAAGTCGGGATATTTGCGAATGAAGGAGGTGGGGGTCACCTGGTTTCAGGGGTAAAATTAGTGAATGATTGAATGGTAATTTGGCACAGATCTTATGTGTCAAAGAACCGATTTTTCAGATAAATTCAGAAATCCAGAAATTCTCAAGATTTTTTTCGACTTATTTATATTTTAATCTCTTTATGCATGTCATTATTCTTTTTCTTTTTTTTTTTTATAGTAGAGTTTTTTACGGCGCTCGCAACTGCATAGATCATATGAGCACGCAGGACACACACCTAATATTTTCAGTTGGTAGGAAATTTTTGAATTTTGCCCGAGTGGCGGCCAAAGCCTAGTCTTATCGATTTTAGATCACCAAGGGATCTTTAACGTGCGCAATTTGCACACGGGCCCTCCGAGATTTTTCGCCCTTGTCCGAGAAGGCTAGGTGTAGATCTTTCCTACCAGAAGATCAGGGGTGTGGCTGAAAGACTGCAGTAAGAAGAAGCTAAGGAGTAGCAGTAGAAAGGCTGCAGAAAGAATCAGGAGCCCAGAGGAAGGGGCAAAGGAGGTGACGGGGTGAGGGCAGAAAGTGGAGACGAAAGCAGACGACAGAACATTGCTAGAGAGCAGGAAAAGAGGTGAAAGGAGACAAATTTAGAGAAGAAAATTTTTCGGTCGCTACCCGAATTCGAACCCGGGACCTTTTGAGTGAGAGGCCAACACCTTAACCTCTAAGGCCACGAGAGCCCCCTGTCATTATTCACTATGTACTTCATTAAAAAAATTTCTTGACAGAGGATGAATTAGACAATATGGTCTGTAAATTTTTCATAACCTAACACCTCTAGTGTGTGTGTTCTTTTTCCCAACAGCATAAAGCACAAAGAGCATGGATATATATGCTCTCTATATAAATACATTATAATAGTTATTACTGCCCACCATAGCGAATTGTAATACGCGTCTCAAATGTTGTCCAGTCAACCTCCATGAGATAAGATTAAGGTTCCAAAAAAAGAAATACCCCCTGGGACGGTGCCACTGACTGAAGTGTCTTTAGACCATTCCCAAAGGGGGGACATTTCTCGTTCTAGTGCACAGTAGAATTGTAAATGGGCTGATCTAACAATGTCATGCTCATAACTGTGCCTGAACTACAGCAGGGAACTGCTGCTTTTTCTTTCCTAATCCTTACTATCGTCATTTTCCTCTACTTCTTTTGTATGTTTGTCACTCTCTTGTAACCTGCTATTTCCGGGGTGCCTTAATAGTCAAAGCCGACTTTGTGCTGCTGAAACTAGAAAGGTGAGCAGAATAAGTCTGATTCCTTGTAAGGACTTCTCTGTTGACATCCACCCCTTGGCGCTCATGTGACTTTATGCAGTTACGAGGGCCGTAAAACTCTACGAAAACTAAACCAGAAAAAGAAAGATACAGATGAGGAGCAAAAACTATCACTGGAAAAGAAAGGAGCAAAGAAATCATAATAGTTAATCATTGGTTGCATGCAATGTATTGTATGTAAACTTGATGGCCTCCTATGTTGTTGTTGTTATCGATCCAGCAACAGCTGGGCGCTTACTCTTCTGTATGGCCTTCTATAACAGGAATATCACATTGGTCCTGATGGTCCTATGACTGCATGTAGGCAAACATTTCCTTTTCAAAACTTCTATAGGGTCATTATTGATGCCCACAGGACTTTTATATTATTATTTTATTATATTTGATCATGAAACTATATTTGCCAGCCCTTTATCTCATTACTGGAACTCTTCGGAAAGTGTAGAATTTGTTGCATTTTTATTTAGAGACAGGCATAATTTATTTGCTTACTCTGTTGTTTTGTCATTGAAACCTCTGTGCATGGTTTCAGAGGAGGAACACTTGTATGTTTTTTAAAAATATTTTTAAGTCAGGTTTACAATAATTTGGGTAACTTCTCTGGATGGTTGAAAATGGGGGCTTTTTTGTGCCTTAGATAAATGACAACGTTACAAGTCTCCTGATGAGACCCTGTGGCTTCCTCCAGGACAAATATGCTATCGATGTACTTATTGGTAGTACATGACTGACATGTTTGTCCTACCTTTTTAAAAGCAAATTAACATCTTGAGAGTTGTCTACAATGGTATGAGTTTAACGCTCCTCGGAACTCAGCATCTTCCTCCAAGCCTCAATTTTCATTAAATGGTGTTGATATCTGGTCTATTTCAGCTGATGCACCTCCTCTCCTATGTATGGGCTCAGTTCCAAGTGTGGCAGATATCTGTGTCCACTTCTCCAACATGACTTATCGTGTGGACAGGCTGGCCATGCATAAAAGTCAGCTTTTGGGATGCACAGACTTCAGCCTCAACATTTACAACAAAACTATCAGTGTTTTACCCGTAGACTGTTTTCAGATACCTGGAGATCCCAACCATCATCCTAAGGAGGAAAATTTAATTTTCCCCAATTTTGTTCCCTAGGGTACTTCTAGAATGTTTTTTGTATTATAGAGGGGAGGAAATGGATAAGGGAAACTAAATCTCATGTTGATGACCATTTGTGATGTGATGTATGCTTTTTGTTGTTGGTTTGTTGTTGGGTTTTTTTTTGGGGGGGAGGGGGGCTGAGTTGATATTGCTTTGAGGTGTTTTGCATATTTTGACAAAGTGGCAAAGTCACCTTTTCACGTCAGCTTTATTTGTTTGACTCAGTGTATCTTGACACAATTTTCCTGTAGTGATGAAAGAAAAGCTGCTGTGATTGTTCACAATGTACTGATTCGTTAAGATTGAATATTTAGGTAGGAATAAGTGGTTAGGCCTCTGAACCTGCGATCCACTTTTTAAAAAGTTTTCCTTCATTATGGTTCATTTATACTCTCATTAAATGTGTTTTGATATTCTAAAGAGGTTATCGTGTATGCAAAGGATCACTTTTTCTTAATTCAATACTGATCGAAATGAAAATAGAATGCGGAGTTATCAGTGTCAGTATAATTTAATGAAATGCAGATTACTGTTACATAACTTATTTGTGCAGAAATTGTGAGAGAAAGTTAGCTCAATGTTCCTCATGATATTTGTTTGAAGAAAATGGCACTATTATCAGTGAAAATAAAAAACATCATGTTTATTGACATTGATGATCAGTTTGTCACTGGCATCTGATCTTTGCTTTCAGAGGGATTTTGCTTTTTCTTTATAATGTAAGGGTTGCAACTACTTATAACTTATATTCTTCAATTTTTGTCATGCTGTTAAGAATGTAACAATGTCAATGAAAAATTGATTTTTTGCTTTACATCTTTTCATTTGGTACCTAAGAAAGGGCTTTCTATAAGTGTTATGCTTTTTTAAATTTAAAGAATCGGTTCATAAATTTTTTAAAGTTATGGAGTTGTTAAGTGCGGCAAAAGATGGATGACCCATAAATAGGAAAATACTCATAAAAAGTGGATCCCGTAAGAACAGTTTCTGTGAGAAAATTGAAGATATCTCAGTAATTAATCTGAGCATTTTAAAGAAACTTGGCAACTCAATGTGTTTTTGGATGGAGAAATCATTTCGGCAGTCGGATTTACTTATCATTTTGTAGTATTTTGTTATAATTAAAATTTTAGTGTACACATTTCTATTTTGAGAAAGAGGGGTGTCGGCATGAGAGCATTTTATTTATAGCTAAGTATCACATCATTGGATTTTAAGAATTTGTTGGCAGAGTGACTAAACAATGGCAAAATTTTCTTTGATGACTTTAGACAATGCCAACCATAAAATATAATTCAATTGATCCTAACATGTTGTACAATTAGAAAGCTTTCTTTTTTCCGTTGATATGCTAACCCACCATTACAATGTAACAGGGGAACAGAGCGAAAAACAACCGAATGCGTGGGCCCACCCATGCCCTATTTTAAGTAACCAATGAACATGCTCATAATAATCATGCAGGGATTTGTAGGTCACATGATACATTTGCGGAGGGAGTGAGGAAAAATGCCTGTTTTCTGTGTGAGGCCACTTTGGATTGGGGGGGTAGTGGTACATTTATGATAATCTCTAAACAACTACTTGACTTAGAATTTTCAATTTTGAGAACACTATAGAGGAAAGATAGATCTCTTACCTTCTTGACATTGAAAATCATGCTCCTTGTAGTTTACAGAATACCGGATACGAAAGTGTTTCCAACTAAAAAAATATAGGTTAATTTATGTGTACATAACTCAACCTTCACATATTATTAGTTTGCCCTGTTTTCTGATTGGTTGCCAAGTTTAATTCACATTTGTCCAGAACTAGAGCCAACCTAGTTTGAGAAAGTAAGTCACGTATGTTCCGATCCGGTCGAAAAATACACCCTCAAACAGGGACCAAAGTTTCATTGCGTATACAAGCCCGATTTGAATTGCTAAATAGTGTGCTTCTGCTGCTGGATATGAAAGTTCTTATTTTATTTATTTTTTTTTTTTTTTCATATGAAGAGATTGTTTCGCTGCAGTTCACCCACCCCCTCCCCTTTGCCCCTTCGTACAGTCAGATGTACTTTCTAATGATTAGTCATTCCTAGAAGGAAAAGAAAAATGTTCACTTCTGTCCTCTGCATTACTGCCAAACTGACACTACTTACCGTATTCAAGTTATTGAACCAATACTGCTAGATGTAATAAACATACTAGGTAAGCTACTAGTTTACTGGCATCAGGGTTAAGGTGAGCAAAGTTTAAAAAATAAAAGCACCATACACACAAAAAAACATACACACTTTAATGTGAAGAGTGCTTTCAGTTACAACCAACATGATACAAGTTGCTATTACTCAAAGCTGCTCATTTATGAGTTAACTTTCTTTGACATTTATAAATTATGCTTTACCACTAACTTTTCTCATAGCGTTTTTATTATTTTTCTTTATGAATATGTTGCAAAGGTTTTGAAGAATGGGAATTGAAAGTGATGAGAAGGATTGTATTTTATACTTGCACTTGGAACAAATGCTGTTTGTAATTACTCTTGACAAAGTTCTTTATTTCCTCTGTTGTGCAATTTAATCTTGAAAATTATAATATATATATATATATATATATATATATGGCATTATTGGTACTGAAATAACCTTGATTTCATGTTGCTGAAGAGAGCAAATCTGATATTTTCAGTTACAAAGTCTGAGGTCTAGGTTGGCTTAGTGTGCAGCTTCTGTTCAAAGAGTTTTAAGAAATAGCACATCGTCAGCTAGCTGTCCAAATGCTCAGAGCCCCAAAATGCTAAATTTTACCGGAGAAAGGAAAAATTGTTTCATACTTTTAACAATTGTACCTATGCCTTGTTTTTTTTGGCTTTTTTTTCAACATTCAGAGTGCATTTCATCAAATTATTTCTTAAGAACTTGTAACTGATACCACAAATTAAGAAGCTGCATTTAAAAGAAAAAGAAGAAGAAATTTTCAGGCTTAGCACATTTTAACAGCTGGCCGATGACATGCTTTTAAAACATAAACTGTGATATACTTCTAGCTTGTATTATGTTGCCATTCTTTGATTTTGTACCAATAGTTTGTCTCAGTGTGTCATACATGTTTCCAAACAGAAGCATTAAACCTGTACGGTCGAATAATTTTGTTTTTTATGAAAAGGCACATTTTTTCAATACCTTTTGAATGCTGTATGACTTATGTGGAATAGCATTTGACATTTCTTCACTTGGTGGGCTTCAAGAACACGAATTTAAGAATTCAAATATTGGGCCTTGTTAGTAGTCCTATTCATAGACTACTAAAGATTTTCACTTTTTAGTGATTGTGGCTAACTTGTAAACATGTCTGAAATGATCAGATCTAACTTTTTTAAAACTTTGCTGACACGACAACCATCTGAACCCTATCCCATGACCAAATGGCTTTTGTCAAATACACGGTAAGCCAGCTAAGCTCCAGGGGAGAAAATGTATGTGTTGAACTTAATTTTTGCATTTGGAATGTATTGTTTACTCAGCATTACTGTTACATCACAATTTGTAACAAGCCTACGTTTTCATTATTTTATTGCTCTTGTTCTTAAAGTTTGTCCCGCACAACAGCACAAAGAAGGCCGACAGTGTTCATATACTTTGATGAAGCAGCTGCCCATAAAAAATCTGTAATTACAACAATAACCTTGTGATGTTTACTGTGTAGTTGAAATATTTTCGAAATGGGTGGTCAATTTTGCTTCTGAGCTTATGTGATTGTGAAAATGAAAGCGAATGCCTTTGGTGGTATTATTTATGCTTTGCCGGCAACCTGGATTGAGGAATCATTCTGTGTTTCAGATTGTGGAAAGTATTGTAGCATATCTAATATTGGCGTCGGTGGCCTAGTGGTTAGGCTCTCGGACTCGCAACCGTAAGGTCGTGGGTTCGAATCCCGTCAAGGGCTCGACGTTGTGTCCTTGGGAAAGGCACTTTACACGAATTTTCCTCTCTTCACCCAGGTGGGAATGGGTACCCGGCTATAGACAGCGAAAGATCTTGTCAGTTTGTTAGTGTTGGAGAGCTTAATCGGCTGCTCGCACTGTATGCTTCCCGGGAAGCTGAGAATGTTTCGGAGTGTTCTATGGTCTGCTGGGGTAATAATATAATGTAAAGCGCATAGAGCCTGCTGTTGAGCGGGGATATGCGCTATACAAATGCTATCTATTATTATCTATTATTATTATTATTATTATATCTAATATTGAAATGGAGGTCTTTTCATTTAGTACGAGCTTTGTAGTATTGCGTCTTAAGGTATAGATTGTGGGGCATGCTGACAAAATATGTTACTTCTTGGATTTCATTCCTATGGACATAGATGCATCGAATTATAGGTTAAGTTTGTACAATTATTAGTATGAAATTACGAAAAAAAACAACCAAACATGTTAAACTTGAAGACAATGGCATTAGTTGAAAGTGTACAAATTTGACGTGCGTGTTGATTTTCAGCTGATATTTCCATTCACAGATTGTGAGAGGTAACTTATTTTGTCAGTATGCGTATCAAACCGTGCATGTAAAAATTTCTTCAATCTTATGCATAGGATAGGGTATTCAAGATAAGTTTGAATATGTTTTCACATCAACAAGTGAATGCCTTTTCACTGTGTTTGAAAGCAAAGAATAAAATGTCGTTCCAATTTTTAGATGATATTCTTTTTGTGGTCAATCAAAGTCTGCAAGTAATGGATTTATCATCATCTTCGTTTTGAAGGCACACCATTCTCCCATTCTTTTCTTTTTGCAGATGATTTAGTGGAAATAATAGATGTTACTAAGAAACTGATTGAACAATGAACTATGATTATGCTCTAGACTTCGCCTTTGCTACTCGTCTTTCCAATTTTCTCTTTTTTAAAAAAATGATATTATGTCATTTCTTGACAGTGTATATTTAAATCCTAAAGAGGATGATCGTGCAGCTGTAAAGTATTCTATGTCACTACACATTCTATTACAGTGGGGAAAGGTTGGTGATACAGTGTCCTTTTCACCAGTGTTTCGTTTGGCTTGAAATTGTGAAGAAAAGCCTTTTGGAAACCTCACATAGCTGCATAATCATGCAAGTACAGAGATTTTGTCACCTTTACAGGTGCACAGTTTTTGTATAAGTCTCAGTGAAAGATAAAAATATTCTTCAGTATTTTACCGCCTGTCATTTTTCATATGTCTAGTTATGTCCTGGCTCCAGTAAGGATGAAATTTGTGCATATGTAATTATCCATACTCATTGTTTTCTGGCTGGCATTACACTCTGGGTTTCTTTCAGCAACTGATCTTGTCAATTACATTACTTCATTCATCTTTTTATGTGCTCAGGTTTGTTTCTTTGGTTGTTTGGATACATTTTCTTTAGAAGCCTTCCATCAAAAGTTCATCATTTGAGCTTATGAAAAATGCTTTTAAAAAATGAGTAGTTTTATAGTTATAATATAGATAACTGATCTATATTTTCGAGGCCAGTAGAGTAGATGTCAGGGTCAGCAGTTATCCTTGAAAGTATTGCCACAGATGTTTCTTTGATGAGCCTGTTACTTTTTTGTTTTCCCTGGTTTAGTTGTACATTGTACCAAAAAAAAAAGGCTCACACATATGTAGTCTTGCATCCCTTAGTTGCCTCTTGTTTTACTCTGACCATGACCTCCGAGTATCAAGTATCAGATCATCAAAAACCATCAGAGTGTAAGTTTTAACAGTAGAGGTGGAACATGAGCAGTTAAGGGTTAGCTCTGTTTCATACTAGCAGTGCTCTTTATACGTGACGAGTATTGATAGCATAATGAGATCCTCGAGGTCTATCCAAAAGTCACTGTGGTTGTTTCCCATAAAGTACAAAAAAGTTCTTTGTTCTTTATTTTATTTCATTGCCGTCAGTGTTTCTGTACGTCATTGTTCAAGGGAACTACTTATACTGTACATGTTTTAACATTAGTTAGTACTGTTTTAAACTCAAAATTCAAAATGTGTGAGGAACTTTTTCTCTAATCATGTTTAGTACAAAAGAGGTGCCTCATAGCTGTGTTCATGCTTTCCCCTGAAGACAGACTTATTTTAAGACCTTACAAGTTCATTTTCTAACTTTTTGTTTTAAAAAATATGCCTATTCCATTTGTCAGAAATGGCATCGTGGAAGTTATTTGTTTTACAAAACTGTTTCATTATGTGACTTCATACACACACAAAAAATAGGTAATAATCCTTGTTATAATATTGTTACATTTTCTGAAAAGCAATAATAAAACAAGACACTGCTGAAGCAGTGTATGAAGATGTGAAAGAAGAAATAAAAAGCTCTGATTTTGATTTGCTTATGCACTCTGCAGGCGATTTTTTAGCCTTGTCACAGGAGCACAGTATAGTCTGTTGATGGGTCAGGGGATATTTTTTTTTACCACGTGCTGAAAGACCCTATCAGAAGCACTTCTACCCTTTTATTATTTTTTGTCTCTCCCCTAGACTTAATACTATGGTCTAGCATGCGTATAATTAACAGATGTTCAGGTCTCGAATTTTTTCTTATACATATATTGCTTTGTATTATATTTAAAATATTTATATATATAGCAAAATTCGCACATATCAAAAAGATTTCCAGGTCCTGCTGATTTCTTAATTTGCATGCTCGACTTAATTATACCATCTCACTGCAATGTGAAATTGGACCCTCGTTTGGAATTGATTTGTTAAAGCATACTGGGAAATATTTGTTCTTTTGTTAGGATAGTTTAGTCAGCTATGTTTTTCAGTTTACGTGGGAAGAATAGTCTGGTGAACAGTTAACACATCACAGTATGTAGCGATGGTGTGGTTTGCACGCTGCACCCTTGGTAGATGTGTGAATGCAACCGAACTATATACTTGTGTTTTTCCAAACTGTGAGTACAGGTACATTGAAATTTGCAGCAAAAGTTTTGTGCTTGTATTGCCGTGTGCTGTATTCTTTAGTATATAATTTGGTACAGTTCACCAATGATGTTCCACTGGTTGAACCAGTGCATGTCTGTCTTTATGTGTTCTTCACAAACGTCACTATTGTTTACTTTTCCCTTGAGTTCTTTTGTTGATTTGTAAGTTTTTATTTATATCATGGGTTTGAAAAAATTAATTTGTCTTATAAGCTTTGTTTACTGGGTCAAAACAATTCCTCATGATGACAAATCCTTCATGAGTTGATGTACATGTATGTGAATATATGTTTTTCATAATAGTTGTGCCCTTGAGTGTTAAATGCTAAAAAAGAATGAATATGAAAGGAGGGGGATATTTGTGTGTATAAGAGAGAGAGAGGGAGAGAGAGAGATGTAGTGAAGGGGGAGGTATGAGTGTGTATTTTTATATGTGGGAAAGATAGGGATTTGATTGTGGGTGAGATGAGATGGGTGTAAAGCTCACATAACTCGTAATCACACTGTATTATGGGCATGATTTATCATCATAATGTTTAATTTGAATTTGCGGAAAATAAAGTTATATGATTTGCACAAGTTAAATAATTGTTGTTTTCTTCATTTTCCTTCGATAGAGGAAACGACAGGTCTAGTAGTTGGTTGAAAAGTCAGAAACCTTTGCCACTGAGAGAACTGGTGTGTTATAGGCATTTGCTGGAGGAGTTCTTCTTCTTCTTCTTCTGCTTCTTCTTTTTTTTTTTCTTCTTCTTCTCCTCCTCCTCCTCCTCCTCTTCCTCCTCCTCCTCCTCCTC